AGAGAGAGACAGAGAGAGACAGAGAGAGAGAGAGACAGAGAGAGAGAGAGACAGAGAGAGAGAGAGACAGAGAGAGAAAGACAGAGAGACAGAGAGACAGAGAGACAGAGAGACAGAGAGAGAGAGAGAGACAGACAGACAGAGACAGAGAGACAGGGGGGGGGGGGGGGGGGGGGAGAGAGGGAGGTGGGTGGACCATCACTGTGTCCAATAGCCAAAGACTGACCCTTATGCAGGCAGCCCAATCTATGTAAAGGGAAGGCAAGCTGGGAGAGGGACGCTAGCAAATAAAGTGAACCTATTTCAAAATACAAGCACTAGAAATCAGTAATGCAAAGGCAAATATATTACTTGTGAGTGTCAAGAAGGACAGTGCAAGACACAAGTACACAAGAAATACAGAGTATCAAAACGTAAGCGTATACGAGGTATCAATATGTAAGTGAAGTACAAGGTCGTCAAAATATAAACATATCCAAGGTATCAGTGTATAAATCAAGTAAAAAGGTAAAGGTAAAGGTTCCCTTGCTCGAAAGCCAGTCGAATCCGACTCTAGGGCTGCGGTGCTTATCTCCGTTTCAAAGCCGAAGAGCCAGCGCTGTCCAAAGACGTTTCCGTGGTCATGTGGCCGGCATGACTAAACACCAAGGCGCACGGAACGCTGTGACCTTCCCCCCGAAGTGGGACCTATTGATCTACTTGCAATGTCTTGCTTTCGAACTGCTAGCCTGGCAGGAGCTGGAACTAGAGACGGGAGCTCACTCAGTCATGCGGCACACTCGGGTCTCGAACCCGAGTAAATCAAGTACAACGCTGGATAAAAACAAAGACTGCGGAGTGATACTTCGTTTCGTAGATCAGCTTCTTCACAAGCGAAATGCGTTACATCCCGTAAACTGATGTCTGCTCCTTCTTTGCTTGGTAAATGGGTCTTGTTTCTTTATTATAAGTATCCTAATTATCGTAGCGTGTCAAGAAGAGAGTGGAGTCACCAGTCAGCAAACTTCTTAAAGGGCACCAGTCAAGCAGCAAAAAGCATTCAGGGAGGCACACTAGCGTCTGAATGTTTTATTTACATTGAATTTTCACCTTGATGGAGTGACACACATTCAGACCTACAAAATCGCTGTTACCAGAATAAGTTGTGGAGGTGATATGGCTATACCTATGGCCCATCACTAATACCAGGAGTCCAGTTATAAGTATACAAGGAAACAACATCTGGTTAAATTATATGTGTAAAATTCTGTAACAGGTCTTTGAATGTGTGTCTAGAATATACAGATAATAGTGACCACTGAGGAAGGCCCTTAGGGGCCGAAACGCGTTTGGTCTTCAGTTGTAGATTATTTACCCATCATATGTATGTATAGAGGATAAGCTTTTATAGTCTGATCTTAGACAAAGTAATTTTTAATCAGGAAAGTTTTAACGTGTGTAAGGTAAAGGTAAAGGTTCCCTTGCTCGAAAGCCAGTCGAATCCGACTCTAGGGCTGCGGTGCTTATCTCCGTTTCAAAGCCGAAGAGCCAGCGCTGTCCAAAGACGTTTCCGTGGTCATGTGGCCGGCATGACTACACACCAAGGCGCACGGAACGCTGTTGCCTTCCCACCGAAGTGGTACCTGTTTATCTACTTGCAATTTCTTGCTTTCGAACTGCTAGGCTGGCAGGAGCTGGAACTAGAGACGGGAGTCTCACTCCATCATGCGGCACCCGGGTCTCGAACTGCTGAACTACCGACCTTCCACAGCCTGCAGTTCAGCATCTTAACCATGTGTACACCTCAATAAATATTTGTACTTTTATATATATGGTTTAGCTTAGCCCTTTTTGGTTTGTAGTCATATCCTGGGTTGAGTCCCCCCCCCTTTTTTCCAGTTTTTATTTACATTGACTACAGCTGGGGAGTCTTCCCATTTGTTATCTACTTGGTAGCCCAATCTACCCAATGGGGTGGGCCCCGACTCTCAGGGGCCTGCAAACCCAGGAAACCCCCAGATTTGGGGAAAAAAACTGAATTAAAAAAATATTGGGGTGACACTCCCCCCCACACACGCACACACAAAGAAAACCTTACCCGTTGCGTAAAGCAAGCCACCGGAACCAGGAAGTTTGTCGGGGTGCCCTAGTCACCCCAAATAGGGCACTGTCATTTTCAGGAGACAGACAGCAGTGGCCAAGGCCGGGAGGGGGGACAGAAGCTAGAGCCAGTGGCAAGACAGAAAATGGGATCTGCCCCCCCACCATAGAGCCTCACAGGCCTCCCCTTTCATAAGAACATTAGAGATGTCAATGTTGGATCAGGCCAGTGGCCCATCCAGTCCAACAATCTGTGTCACACAGTGGCCAGAAATACCAGGTGCCATCAGAAGGTCCAGCAGTGGGGCCAGGACACTAGAAGCCCTCCCACTGTTTAATCACTCTTTGGGTGAAGAAGTACTTCCTTTTATCCGTTCTAACCCGACCGCTCTGCAGTTTCATGGAGTGCCCACGAGTTCTTGTATTGTGAGAAAGGGAGAAAAGTACCTCTTTCTTTACCTGCTCTTTCCCATGCATAATCTTATAAACCTCGATCATGTCACCCCTCAGTCGTCTTTTCTCCAAGCTAAAGAGCCCTAAGCGCTTTAACCTTTCCTCATAGGGAAAGTGTTCCAACCCTTTTATCATTTGAGTTGCCCTTTTCTGCACTTTTTCCAAAGCTATAATATCTTTTTTAAGGTGTGGTGCCCAGAACTGCACACAGTATTCCAAATGAGGTCTCACCATTGATTTATATAGGGGCATTATTATATTGGCTGATCTGTTTTCAATACCCTTCCTAATAATCCCCAGCATAGCATTGGCCTTCTTTATTGCAGTCACACACTGTCTCGACATTTTCAGTGAGTTATCTACTACAAGATCTCTCTCTTGATCAGTCTCTGCCAGTTTCCATTTGCTAATCTATACGAAGCCATTTCTGTGGACACAACCAGAGAGGGACGCCCTTACCACGTCTGTATAGGCCTCAGCCATGTGAATCCACTGACCCCCGGGAAGGCGCACTTGATTCTCAAACGCTTCCTCCACGAAGCTCATGTGCCCGGCATCCACATCATACAGCAGCCTGTGATGACAGGACAGGTGGGGGGGGGGGAAGCAAAAGGATTCAGAGAGGACTCAATTTTTTACCCATTAGTGCAAAAAAGCTCGCCCTTTGTTAGAGCACTTGCTATTCCAAACCCAGGCTGGTTCAGACAATACTTTGCTTGTCAGCAGAAGCACCTTTAGTCCACCCAAGGTAAGAAGTCCCCAGGATCCACTCCCAAAATGTCCAGGTATTTCCCAGCCCAGAGCTGGTGAGAAGTTAGTACCACCTTCATAGAAGAAGAAGAAGAAGAAGAAGAAGAAGAAGAAGAAGAAGAAGAAGAAGAAGAAGAAGAAGAAGAAGAAGAAGAAGAAGAAGAAGAAGAAGAAGAAGAAGAGATTGGCTTTATACCCCACCCTTCACTACCCAAGGGAGTCTCAGAGCGGCTTACCAACTCCTTTCCCTTCCCCTCCCCACAAGAGACACCCTGTGAGGCAGGTGGGACTGAGAGAGAAGAGAGGAGATTGGATGTATACCCCGCCCTTCACTACCCGAAGGAGTCTCAGAGCGGCTTACAATCTCCTTCCCTCTCCCTCTCCGCAACAAACACCTTGTGAGGTAGGCGGAGCTGAGAGAGCTCTTCACAGAAACTGCTCTTTTTCAAGACCAGCTCTTATCAGAACTACGGCTTGCCCAAGGCCATCCAGCAGGTGCAAGTCAAGGAGTGGGGAATCAAACCCAGTTCTCCCAGATTAGAGTCCGCGCACTTAACCAGCTACACCAAAATGTTATTTTAAATTAATTTGCCTTGCAAACCCTGTTCCTGATTGAGCCCTGCAGAACCTCCGGGCGCAAAGGAAGGAGGGCCGTCTCCCCAGATAATGTGGTCGGGCACTCACGTCTTTTCGGGGCTGACAAACCAGTCCCCGGCCCAAGCCCAGCCTGCGGAAGGCCTGAAGCTGTCCTTTGGCAACTTGATCTTGCCGGTGACGTCGGAATACTTGGGGTAGGTGAGGCCAGTGGTGCCCCAGTTTCCGACCAACGCCAGCTTGGTTTGGTTTTCATACTGAGAAAGAAAAGATAGAAAGGTGTTCAAAGAGCCAAAGGGGATCTCACAAACATGTAGCTGCATCACCCACAGAAGCCCCATAATAATCACTGCAGTTCTTTAAAAAGTGAAGCCTATTCCGTGATTGATTATTTATAGCCCGTTTCCTATCTAAGCCTCAGGGCAGATTACAAAATACAATCAGACAGCATAAGACATCCCATAAACAGTTCAATAGAACTAGGATTGCAAAAATCAGAAAACAGTTCTGTGGAGAGATGCCCGCCGCGCCCCCCCCCCCCGATCACATTTATATTCCAATAATTGCAACTGAACTCTGTCTACATATTGGAGCCCAACTGCATGTTCACGGCTGACAAAAGAGAAAATGTGTGTGTGTGGGGGGGGGGTGAATGATCAAACCCCAAACACAGAATACTTCAGTGCTTACAGATGCAAACGGCTTTGGCTGGAGTGAGACAAAAGATCTACCATTTATTAGACTGTCACACCTAAAGTACAGAGACTGGGAAAGCCAAAGAAAAGGCAAGACTGTATTTTCCTCTTTTGGGGGCACAAAAATCAGGACTGACCCCTAGATGGGGACAGACTTCCAAAGGGAGATTATGAACTCCCAGGACATGAAGAAGAAGCTCTTTTATGCTGTTTTGAATGCCCAACGCCTGATTTCTGCCAAAATTTTAATCAATGGAGAAATCACTCAAAACATTCCAATACAGAAAGGCACAAGACAGGGATGCCCGCTATCCCCATTATTGTTCATATTTACTATAGAATCGTTAGCCGAAAAGATAAGAAATAATGAATTGATAAAAGGTCTGAGAGTGAAAGGTGAAGTGTTCAAATTACAGGCCTTTGCAGATGACTTGATCTTTATATTAGAAGATCCGGAACACTCTTTATCATATTTAATAGAAGATATTCAGGAATTTGGTAAACTAGCGGGATTTAAAATCAATTTTCAAAAAACTAAAATCATAGTTAAAAACTGCCCACAAAAGCTAATACAAAAAATAAAAGAGATGTCAAAAATGGATGTAGTGCAGAAAGCGAAATATCTAGGAATATGGATCTCAAATAACACATCGACGTTATATGAAAGTAATTACGTACGACTTTTATATGATATTAAAAGAGACTTAAACCATTGGGAGAAAATACATCTCTCTTTATTGGGCAGAATAGCAACAATAAAAATGAACATTCTTCCAAGATTCCTTTTTTTGGCACAAAATTTACCAATACTTAAAAACTATATGTTTTTTAAGGAGCTAGAAAAATCTGTAGGCAAATTTATATGGCAGTCTAAAAAACCGAGAATAAGAAAAGAGGCTTCGCATTGCCTAATTGGCAATTGTACTATTTCGCAGCGTCAATGATATGGATTAAAGATTGGGTAGAGTTAGAAGATATAAGAACACTAGCTTTAGAGGGATCAGATTTGGTAATGGGATGGCATGCGTACTTGTGGTACGGAAAAGATAAAATCCACTCTAATTTCCATATAAGAAGCTCCCTTATGAAAGTCTGGAATTTAATAAAACATAAATACTACATCAAAGTACCTCTGTGGATATCTCCGATAGAGGTATTTACTAAACTGTCACTAATAATAGGGAAAATTTAAAAAACTTATAGCAATTTATTAAACAAAAAAGCCGAGCTAAAAACAGATGAGATACTATTTGGTCCACTTTCCAAAGAGCAGAAAAGGGGAGGTAAAGCGACTGAGCTCACCATCCCTAAAGTGTGCAAACAAGAGTGGAAGTACTCAGGATCATCCTCACAGGCGCTTGTACGAAAGACGTAGGAGATGCAGCAACTAGGCAGAGCCTCTACTTGGCAATGCAGAATGCTAGACATACAAATCCATCTAGCAGGAGATATTCTTCCAGATTTGTAAGTGGCAGCCATTACTACCCAAAGAGAAGCTGATGCTCCTAGGAGTAGGGGAAAGGGCAACCTCACTGGTCAGAGACCTGGGACAGTTGCAAGCAGTGTTCCCTCTAAGCTGAGTGAGTGCGAGCTAGCTCACAGTTTTTTAGTCTCCAGCTCACACATTCTTGTCTTAGCTCAGGAAGGCTGGCTTCAGAGCAAACTGATTGATACAGCAGCCAGATCGCTCGCTCACAACTTTAGTGCCAGTAGCTCACAAAGGAGAATTTGTTGCTCACAAGACTCCACAGCTTAGAGGGAGCGTTGGTTGCAGGTATGTTCTGAGCTCCCAGGAAGTCAGGCTGGCAAGGCCCTTACCTAGCCAAGGAAATAAAAAATCAGTATAAGATCTGGCATACCATAAACAATGCAAAAAACGGAACTGCGAAAGTAGAAGGCAACGCAGTAAGACCAAGAGCATACATACACCAAACGATGGAACAGACCCCGATCCCACTGCCTGTATAAAAGCACCCTGCTGTTTTACACGATCCACGGAACGGAACTTGGCTCACCGTTTCTGCAAACACAGAGAGCCTCCCCTCCGCTGACTTGTTGAATTCTTTCTCGTCCACAGCTAGCCCGAGCCACAGCCGGACACGGACCTGGACCGGGACCTTGGGGCCCATCACCTCCTCCTGAGGAGTCTAGGGCAAAATCAAAGGAATCGTTAATTCTGGGCCCGGCCCTCTTTCAGATACGTTCGGCTCAGGGATGTAGCCAGGATTATTAAAGTCAGGGGGCATTTTAAAACATTGGGGGGGGCATGGGGAAGGCAGGAGGGAGCCACACACTGCCACTGCCGCTGCCACAGTGGCCATTGCCATACCGCAATTCACAACACGGATGAAAACCAGGAGACGGGGGTGCTGGATTGACCCCACCCCCACCCTCCTGCCATCACTTTGCTTCCTTCCTGTGCCCCGTCTGGCAGTGTCCCATCCAGCAGCATGGGAATACACATGGAATTCACTGCCACAGGAGGTGGTGGTGGCTACAAGCATGGACGGCTTCAAAAGGGAATTAGATAAGCATATGGAGCAGGAGAAGTCCATCAGTGGCTCTTAGCCACAAGGTACAGATAGGGGCTCTGGGGCAAGTGATGCTCTGTCATCTTGGTGCTTGGGGGGGGTCAACAGTGGGAGGGCTTCTAATGTCCTGGCCCCACTGCTGGACCTCCTGATGGCACTGGTATTTTTGGCCACTGTGTGACAAGAGTGTTGGACTGGATGGGCCTTTGGCCTGATCCAACATTGGCGTCTCTTATGTTCTTATGTAATGGAGAGCAGGGCTGGCTGGTGAGGTTGCGGGGTGAGGGTAGAGGCAGGATCCCAGCAGGCAGACGTAGCCCACCGTGTTCACTAGAAGGCGTCCCGGGGGCTTCCAAGACATTATCTGTAACTCAAAAGCAGCAGGACGAAGTTGGAGTCCAGGGGCACCTTTAAGGCCAAAGCTTTATTCTGGGTCTGAGCATTCAAGCGCACACAGATGAAAGCTTCTACCCAGAATTAAGCTGTGTCGGTCTTAAAGGTGCCCGACTGGACTCAAACATTGTTCTGCTCCTTCAGAGCAACACAGCCACCCACCTGAATCTACCTTCATAACCAACAGAAATTCCTACAGTCCTGAACACTAAACCACATTTTACCAAACCACTGTTTCCAGACCCCACGGAGGACAACCAGAAAAGCTAGTTTAAAATAATAAAATAATCACCCTAATACAGGGGTGTCGAACTCATTTGTTACGAGGGCCGGCTCTGACATAAATGAGACCTTGTCGGGCCGGGCCATGTGTGTCATGAAATGTAATGCCAGGGAGCAGAGGTATAAACTTTATAAAGGACACAAACACAAAGGGTTGGGGTTTTTTTTACTTAAAATAAAAACATGCTGAAAGCATCAGCACTTTTGCAATGTTTCGTCTATTTTAACAGTGTCTGATAACTGACACCTCTTGCTCTGAATCATTGCATCAAAATGTCTGTGCTGTTGCAATCTTTTTTTAATAGTTTATTTATCATTTTTCATTACAAAAAGAAAAAACAAACCAAAATCTTCCACATATTATGGAGTTAACATTACACATTTTTTCCCATCCATCTATCTACCTTTTGCCATCTTTTTTGATGCATATTTTCTTTTTTCCCTGCTAATATCCAATTTATTTCATCCATTTCTTTTATTTCCATAATTTTCATTGTTAATTCTTCTCTATTTGGTGTTCTATCTGATTGCCATAACTTTGCTATAAGTATTCTGGCTGTCGTAAGGATATATTATATCAGATATAAATCATTGTATTTGATCCCATCTGGTAACATATTTAGTAAATACACTTCTGGTTCTAACTTCAGATCTATTTCAGTTATTTCTAATATTAATTGCTTTATGGTTTTCCAAAATTTGCCTGTCTTTTCACATCTCCACCATATATGATAGTATGTTCCAATATTTTTATTGCATCTCCAACAATTCCCTGAGTGTACTGTTCGGGTGTGTATCTGTAAGCTGCAAACCTACAATGACGCAGCAGAACTGGAAGAAGAAGCAGAAGACAGCCAGTTCTACTGCGGGCCTGATAGAAGCCCTCCGGGGGCCTGATCTGGCCCCCGGGCCGCATGTTTGACACCCCTGCTGTAATATGTTCAGGGACTATTTATCCTTGAACAGGATCCTTTCAGCCCCTGCCTACTAAATACACCAGCCCAGCACGCCGGATGTCTCTGCTCTCAGGCACTGGCACAGTTCCTGTAAGGGTGCACAGGAGGACAGCCTCAATCCATTGACCATCTCTCACCTCTACACTGTCCTTACACTTCCCACTTGCCACCTTTTGGGGTGATCCTTTGGGACTTTCCTTTTACCAGAGAGAACAAGAGATTTGCTGGCCCTGCTGGGCCACCGCGAGAGCTTGACCTCTCCCCATTTATCCACTAATTCCTTGTCACATACAGGGTTTACTCTGTGCTGCCACCAGCTGGCCATTAGCAGACCTGCAGTCTGACAGCCACCTATCAGACTCTCAATGGGGGGGGGGGGAATCAGACACACACACCCTTTTATTAAGCCAACAGGAAGTTAGGGGCACATGTAGGCAATAATCTAGGGCACCGAAAATGGAAGGGACCAACTGGCCCTGTCACCACTCCTGGCTCTGGGGTCATCTGATGCAGTAAGCGGCAGCCCTGGGAGGTGCCCCACAGATCACAAAAAGAGGAGGAGGTCCATGGGGGGGGAGGCAAGTAAAAGGAGGGCGGGTGGTGGATTCCCTCCCAGCTCTGCACGGAGGAGGAGGGCGGGCAGGCAACCTTCTTCCTTCCCCCCAGCATGTTGGGGGGGGGACAATGCGTGAAAGACCAGAGAGAGACTCCTCCCCTCCCTCCTGTCTCTGCGGTGCGGGGTGAGAAGAGCGGAAGTGTCCGTTCTCTCCTCCCCATGGAAAGGGGGGGAGGAGGGCAGGCAGAGGCACCTGAGTGGTACAGGCATCTGTGGGCACAGGTGGTAGGAGGGCTTGTGAGGGGGTCGGGAGATGCACAAGGGGGTATTTGTGAATTTCCTGCATTGCGCAGGGGGTTGGACTAGATGACCCTGGAGGGTCTCTTCCAACTCTGTGATTCTAAGCGTGTGGGTCAGCGGGTGGGAAGGCAGGCATGGGGGGCCTGGGGGCGGGTAGAAGAGAGGAGGGTGACCCATGGACCCAAAGATCTGGAACCATCTCTGCTTGGGATCTTTTCCCCCCTTCTTTCATTTTATTTTTACAAGTCTTGGAATTCGAGACAAAATTTCCAAAAGCCGTGGCAATGACGGAACTTACTTTCAAGAATATGGTCTGGAGCGTCCCGCAGTTCTTCCCGCAGCAGTTGGGTCCAGTCCGAGAGTAAAGCACCTCGCGAGCAGGAACCCGGCTGTAAGCCACCCGCCGGTCCCCTTGCAGCATCCAGATGACGATGTCTGGCAGGCTGTTCTGAGGCTGAAAAGGAAGTCCGTGGGTCAGGGTGGCTGGCCCCCAGTGCAGAGCCAGCCCTCCCGGGCTGAGCAGACAGAGGGAAGGGGGACGCCTAATCATTTATCGACTTTCCCCACCCCAGAGGGGACACCAAGTACTGACATCATTCTTTTCTCCCGCATCTTATCCTCACAACACCCCTGTGAGGTAGGCTAGACTGAGACAGTGTGCCTGGCCCAAGGTATTCCAGCAAGCTACCATGGCAAAGTGGTCCTTAATATCAAAAAGTCTGCAATCACCTCCTCCTCAAAATCCCCCTTGCCCCCAATTCTTAAAACTTGGTGCAGGAACATATGGGATTATCTCACCATGGAAAGGATACTGATACAAACCTCAAATAAAGACCCTTACTCTGCCTCTCTTGATTATTACAATTTCTGGTACCCTGTTTAAAATGTTATAGCTCAAAACAAAGGCCGTTTTGATCAGCATTGTGGTACAGATGTTTTACTGTGTTAATTAACTGATACTTGACTATTTACTATGACCTCACATGTTTATGACAGTTTATTGTCACTGGTCTGCCTTTGTATCTGATGTTAAATTTTCAATAAAAACATTTTTTTTTAAAGGATGGAGAGCACCAAGTCCCTCCAGGGTGCTCAGAAACTATTTAAAACCACACTAATGGTGGGCGGACAGAATGTGTACCTCAGGTTAGGAAAGCTACTACTGCACGTAAAAGGATACCCGTGTGGTTAACCACCCAAATTCAAGGAAACCATAAAAGGCAAAAACCAAACAAAAAAAATCCTTCATTTCAAAAGTGGAAGGTTTATCCAAATGAGGTGAGCTGAAAGGATCAAAGGTTCTGGCAAAACAAACGTAAATGGGAACTAAAGCAAACAAACAAACAAAAAACCCTAAAGAGGAAGTTGCTAAAAAAAAAATTAAAACAATTGGCATTTCTTTAAATGTATCAGGTGCAGGAAACCAGCCAGGGAAGCAGTCAGGGCTCTGGAAAACAAGGGTTTCTTAAAGCAGAGGGAGAGGTGGCAGACAAACTGAATTAATTCTTTGCATCTCTTTTAGCTGTCAAAAATGTGGGGCGCGTGCCCATAGCAGAGCTCCTGTTCTCAGGAAGGGTGTCTGGAGAGCTGGGTCAAACTCAAGCGATGAGAGATGTTCTAGGACTCCAGGTCTGTTAGTTAGTTAGTTAGTTAGTTAGTTAGTTAGTTAGTTAGTTAGTTGGACTCCAGGGCAAATCAACAACCATCAAGTCCTGGGATAAGAGGAGGGGTCCGCCTATTACGGATTAAAAGCTGGTTAAATGACAGGAAGCAAAGAGTAGGAATAAATGAAGACGGGTCGCCGTGTGAGTCTGTCTGTAGCAGTAGGAAAGAGCAAGAGTCCAGGAGCACCTTAAAGGCTAACTGAGTTTGTGGCAGGGGAAGAGCTTCCGGGAGTCACTGCTCACTTCTTCACTTGCACCTGCTGGATGACCTTGGGCAAGCCATAGTTCTGGCACAGCTGTCCTTGAAAAAAGAGCAGTTTCTGTCAGAGCTCTCTCAGCCCTACCTCACAGGGTGTCTGTTGTGGGGAGGGGAAGGGGAAGGAGTTTGTAAGCCGCTCTGAGACTCCTGGATCAGACTAGTTTGTGCATCTAGTTCAGCAACCTGTCTCACACAGCATCAACCGCTTGCCCTGGAAGGCCCAACAACAGGGCAAATAGAGGTTGAGGCCTTGCCCTGGTGTTGCTTTTTAAAGACATCTGTGCCTGTGGCCGTTGCCACCTGTTGAGTAAAGAAGTATTGTATTTTATCTGTAATGAATCCATTGCTCATCACCATTTCACATTGTGAAGAACTTGGATTCTGTTATTAGAGAGTCAACATGGAATGTTTCCTTCAAGGGTTGATAAGTAGCGATTGGTAAGAACTGGGATTGCTACACGCTCGGAGAAAGCGAATATTGTGAAACGAATTGTTCATATGGCGCAGCATTCGTTAGCCGGTGAGCGATCACAGAAGAGAATTTTCTACAGAAATTTCTACAGTAAAAGTTTCTGCAACTTATCTTTATTGACTCTTCGTTATTTTTATCATGGACATTGTTTTTGGAATTCCACCACCTGGGGGTTGGCAACCCCAGTATTAACAGACTCGACCCCAGCTGTCCTTCCGCAGACCAACACAGTTACCCTCTGAAACTTGGAACCAAGGAATCCCCTTGACGTCTCCTCTGCCCCTACCTGGTCCTCCTCCTGCTATTCGCCACCTTTCCTCTAAGACACCATTTATGTGCTGCTGGATTGACTGGGAGAGATTGAGCTCAGCGCACAGCGTGTGTTTGTATCCTTTCCGCACGGCTGGGGCATCAACAGGCCCCCTGGCTAGTGGCTGGGAGCGTGGGGTGGGGTGTGTGGGAAGAGCCCTCCCATAACCTCCAAACCACAGGCTTGTGGGCTTCCTTCCCATTCGCAGGCTTCCTTTTCCTCTCTCTGGGCCGGATGGTAGCCCTCTGCTGCCTGCGAGAGCGCAGCACAGCACCGGCGAGCGGCAGGAGGCAGCTCCCTGCCGAGGAGAAATGGCAGCCAAGCCCTCCGCCCTTGGCAACAGAGAGCATCCCTGCCTGCCAGGGCAGCCTCTCGAGGACCAAATGTTCTCTCTCTCAGAGCTGCGGGCCGGGCTGCCCCCGGGCCACTGCTCCGAGCCTCCGAAAGGGCCAGCTCCCCAAGTGCGTCTCAACTGGATGGACGGCTCCACCCCAGGCTCTCCTGGCCAGGACACCTCCTTCCTCTCAGGGGACAGGACGCTCGCTCCTCTTCCTTGGGGCGGCTCTCAAGATTCACACACACACACACAAACATGTCCACAGCTATTTTGTTTTTTTAAGAAGAAGAAGAAGAGATTGGATTTATACCCCACCCTTCACTACCTGAAGGTGTCTCAGAGCGGCTTACAAACTCCTTTCCCTTCCCCTCCCCACAACAGACACCCTGTGAGGTGGGTGGGGCTGAGAGAACTCTGACACAAACTGCTCTTTTTCAAGGACTGCTGTGCCAGAGCTTGTGACTGACCCAAGGTCACATCAGCAGGTGCAAGTGGAGGAGTGGGGAATCAAACCCGGTTCTCCCAGAGTAGAGTCCGCGCACTTAACCACTACTCCAAACTGGCTTTTCGGCCATGTAGATTCCCCCTTACCACCAGTGTTCCCTGTAAACTGAGTCAGTGTGAGCTAGCTCACAGCTTTTTAGCCTCCGGCTCACACATTGCTGTCTTAGTTCAGGAAGGATGGATCCAAGCTGTAGTTCTGACAAGAGCTGTTCTTGAAAAAGAGCCGTTTCTGTCAAGAGCTCTCACACCCCCACCTACCTCACAGGACGTCTGTTGTGGGGAGGGGAAGGGAAAGGAGTTTGTAAGCCGCTCTGAGACTCCTCTGGATAGTGAAGGGTGGGGTATAAATCCAATCTCTTCTTCT